ACCTCTTATTGACTGCTCCTGTTGTGATGTATGTACAGCTGGATCTAAACATGAAGAAAGAAGAGAAACTGATATGTTTCACAAGTTTCTTATGGGGTTGAACACTGACCTTTTCTCCACTCTGCGCACTAGTATCTTGTCACAGGATCCACTTCCATCTCTTGATAAGGCCTATCAGTTTGTGATTCAAGATGAGAGGGTGAGGACTGCTCATGTAGTGGTAGAAGATAAACCCGCGGATGTGTTAGGGTTTAGCGTTCGAGCAACTTCAAGCAAAGGAAGAGGAGGTCGTGTAGAGAAGGTGGACAAATCATCCTTGCATTGCTCCCATTGCAAGAGATCTGGTCATGATTCGAGTTCCTGTTTCGAACTGGTCGGATATCCGGAGTGGTGGGAGGACAGAAGTAAAAGTGATGGAGGGAGTATAGGTGGCGGTCGTTCAGGCGGACGAGGAAGGGGTTCTCATCGGACCCACTCCATCTCTACTGGACAACAACTTGGGCCTACTCAGAATATTGGGTCAGGCCAGGCGCATACAACAGGAACACCTTTACCGTTCACTGCTGAACAGTGGAAGGCTCTAACAGGTTTAATGAGTACTTCTAAAATTCCTGAAGAAAAATTAAACGGTACATTTCAAAAACGACTTTGGATTATTGATTCTGGGGCAACCTATCATGTCACCGGTGATGTTTCTTGGTTACATAATACACGACAGGTTCCAAAAACTCTTGTCGGATTGCCTAATGGAAAGAAGGTCATAGCTACTCATGAGGGTAGTGTCAAATTGTCTGACAAAATCACACTCAAAAGTGTACTCTTAGTTCCTCGTTTGAATTGTAACTTGATTTCGGTGTCACAATTAAATGATGATATGAGATGTGTTACTCAGTTTGATTCTCATATGTGTGCTATACAGGACCGGTCGAGGACGCTGATTGGAGCGGGTGTTAGACGGGACGGACTGTATTACTTTGGAAAAGGAGAATCTATTCATCGTGTTGCGGTCAATGGAGCTTCATCAATATTGGAATTGTGGCACAAACGAATGGGTCATCCTTCAGAAAAAGTGGTGAAATCCCTCCTTCCTACTAGTGATATAAGGGGTAGTTTGAATAAAGCCTGTGAAGTGTGTTTTCGGGCTAAACATTCTAGAGATAAATTTTCTGTAAGTAATAATAAAACTAGTCGAATTTTTGAGAAAATACATTGTGATTTGTGGGGTCCTTATAAATACCCTTCTAGTTGTGGAGCGCGATATTTCTTAACCTTAGTAGATGATTACTCTCGGGCTGTTTGGATTTATCTTATGGTTGATAAAACTGAAGTTTTTCAAACGTTCATGTCCTTTGTTGCTATGATTGATAGACAATTTTCTAAAAAGATTAATATTGTTCAAAGTGACAATGGAACTGAATTCAATTGTTTACTGGATTATTTTACTACTAAATGTATTATTTTTCAAACCTCGTGTGTTGGTACCCCCCAACAAAATGGTCGTGTTGAAAGAAAACACAAACACCTTTTAAATGTTGGTCGTGCCCTAATGTTTCAAGCTCATTTGCCAGTCACTTTTTGGGGAGAATGTGTGCTCACCGCTTCTCATTTAATCAATCGTACACCGTCTTCTCTATTAGATAATAAAACCCCTTTTGAAATTTTATATGGTAAGGATCCGTCCTATTCTACAATCAAAACATTTGGGTGTCTTTGCTTTGCACACAATCAAAAAGCTAAGGGTGATAAATTTGCCAGTCGAAGTCGTAAATGCATGATTGTGGGATATCCGTTTGGTAAGAAAGGGTGGAAGCTATACGGTCTTGATACCAAAACATTCTTTGTTTCAAGAGATGCAAATTTTTTGAAGACATTTTTCCCTATGTTGACATTAATCTACAAACTCAACCAAACACACCTACATTAAATGAGTTACCTGATTATTTCGAACCGGAGGACATAATTTCCGATCAGCCCACTGTTGAGTCACAGCCCACTTCGGAACAGCTCACTCCGGAACAGTCTTCTCCTGGACAGCCCATCCCGGAACAGCCTCACAATGCATCATCACTGCCATCTCCTACTGCTGCAACCGAAGATCAACTTGGTAGGGGCCATCGTGAAAAATTTCCATCGGTTCTCCTTCGCGACTTCATCTCTCATACGCGTACTGTCCCGTCTCGCTCACACCCGGCTTCATCAGTTTCCTCAGGTAATCCCTATCCTATAGCTCATTACATTACTTGTGATAAATTTTCTCCCAAATATCAGCATTTTTTATCCGCCATTGTTGCTGGTCATGAACCCCGTTCATTTAAAGAAGCAATGAAATCTGATGTTTGGCAAAAATCAATGCAAGAAGAAATACGAGCACTTCAAGACAATGGTACTTGGACCTTGACAACTTTACCCCCAGGAAAGAAAGCGCTTGGCAGTCAATGGGTCTACAAAATCAAATATCTCTCTACAGGTGAAATTGAGAGGTATAAATCACGACTGGTGGTGTTTGGGAATCATCAAAAGGCAGGAATCGATTATAATGAGACATTTGCACCTGTGGCTAAAATGACCACCGTGCGCGTGTTTCTTGCTGTAGCAGCCGCCAAAAATTTGGAGCTCCATCAAATGGATGTTCATAACGCTTTCTTACACGGTGATTTGACTGAAGAGGTGTACATGCGACTTCCACCCGGATTCAGGTGCTCTAACCCCAATCTTGTGTGTCGATTACGCAAGTCTCTTTACGGGCTCAAACAAGCTTCGCGTTGCTGGTTTGCTAAACTTGTTCGATCTCTTAAAGATTATGGTTTCCGCCAATCATATTCAGATTACTCTTTGTTTACCTACACACGGGGCTCTATTCAAATTAATGTCCTGGTTTATGTTGATGATTTAATTATTTCAGGCAATGACTCTAGTGCCATCATATCTTTCCAAACATATCTTCATAAGTGTTTTCACATGAAAGATCTTGGAGCTTTGAAGTATTTCTTGGGAATTGAAGTGGCAAGAAGCCCCAAAGGGTTATTTCTTTGTCAACGCAAGTACACACTTGATATCATAAAAGAAGCCGGTGTCTTGGGTGCCAAACCTGCTGGATTCCCGATGGAACAAAATCACAAACTTGGGCTTGCTGGTGGAGCATTGTTATCTGATCCAGAAGCCTGTCGCCGGTTGGTGGGAAGACTTATTTATTTGGCTGTTACACGGCCTGATCTTGGTTATTCGGTTCATATACTTTCCCAGTTTATGCAAGCTCCCCGTACGGAACATTGGAAGGCGGCACTTCGTGTGGTTAAGTATCTAAAAGGAACTCCAGGACGTGGCATACTCTTGAGTTCTGATAGTAAACTAGTTTTAGAAGGATGGTGTGACTCCGATTGGGCTGTTTGCCCTATTACTCGTCATTCTTTGACCGGATGGATTGTCTATTTTGGGCACTCGCCTATAGCATGGAAAACTAAGAAGCAACATACTGTCTCACGCTCTTCCGCAGAAGCCGAGTATCGATCTATGGCAACCATTACATGTGAATTTAAATGGCTTAAAAATCTTCTCTTAAGCTTGGGAGTTTTTCATTCACAACCTATTAAGCTTCATTGTGATAATCAAGTTGCCTTACATTTGGCAGACAATCCTGTCTTTCATGAACGAACAAAACATATTGAAGTCGATTGTCATTTTGTGCGTGATGCGATTACTGATGGACTGGTGTCTCCTACGTATGTGCATACTTCTGAACAATTGGCGGATGTTCTAACCAAGGCTCTTGGAAAAACACAGTTTGATCGCATTATTGACAAGTTGGACATTTTTGATCCCCATGCTCCAACTTGAGGGGGGTGTTGGAGTTATCCCGAATTGGGTATTATCTTATAGATAAATATATTTTGAATGTATAGATTAGTCTTATCTTATTAGTTTGCTTTGGTTTCTGATAAGGTCTCATATATATATATATATATATATATATATAGCGATTAATAAAAGGATCAGATTTTTGAGTCTTCAATCTTCACTTGTGTCAATTGTTTCATACTTCCATTGTCGCCTTGAAGAAAATGAGAAAATAACACCAAATAAAACAACTAAACAAGCTTTTCTTTTTATAATTTTGATGTCATATCTTTTATGCTTACATATGTTACACGTTTCACTTTTGCAAGTTTCACATTGAGGAATTGATTTTCGCATAGTTTGTTTAAGGCTTCGAGTTTATAAATTTGATGCAAATTTATTGTACATGCATATATCTACCCTAATAAATGAAAATCTTTTTTGTCATATGTCACACTTTCATTGATTTGGGCACATGTCATTTTGTGGTTATTTTCAATTAAATTTTTGTCACATGGCATTTTGTGGTTGTTTCATTTTTATTAAATTCCACATAATATTTAACTACATGTATCAATTGCAATAAAAATAATAATAAATGCATTTCAATTTCATTAATTGACTTTCCTTTCATTTCAAAATTTGTAAATTAAAGCCCATTAGTTTCCTTTGTTTATTTATTTAAATTATTTGTTTAAATTTAAAAGAGAAATAACACTTTAATTTTAATAATTCAATATTTTTCTAATTTTTCATATAAATTCAAACTTCTCAAATATTTAGAATTTCATATTTAATTTTTTTTAATGAACTCATGTAATACATTGGTCTTACACCTAGTTTTGTTATATTTATAAATTTATTTCAAATGTACTTAGCATGTATGTATATATTTTGATGTAAAAATAACCATATTTACATATTTGTACTATCAAAATTTCGATTTCTTACTTTAACTTTGTTTTTTTATAATATACACCAGGTGAAAACCCGTGGGACCCACGAGTGTTAATGTTAAATAGAATTTTAAATATAATTATGTAATAAATAATGTATCATTAAGTTAGAAAACTTATATATTATTTTTAAATAACTTTTTCATTTGTAAGTATTTAATTACACAATAAATTGTAAGTATTTAATAGCAAATGTAGTTTTTAAAATCCTTACTTTTTACTGCTTGTTAATCGTTTATGCTGATTGCACATAAGATTAATAGAAATTGTTGTTGTTTTCATATGTTTTTTTTTAAACTTTACATTGATTTATTGCGTCATGTGTTTCTTTTTTAGGCTTACTGTCTATAACGTTGAAATTCGTTCAATGTTGGTGTTTTTCTTAGGATATGTTCTCTATTTTTAGTAAATTTGTAAACTTTAAGTATTTAAATACAAATATAAATCCACATATTTTATAAAAGTCATTACTTTATATAATGCAAACATACATTTAAATAAAGACAAAAATACCCAAAACAACATCGAAATTGATTTGATACAAAACAAACAAAATATGTATGTAATGAAATTAACATAAAAAATGAGTAAAAGATGCTACAAAAAAGTTGTTTATAAATTGCGAAAAACTTCCTTATAAACAACATTGGAAGTCTTATTTGTGAGTCTACCATCTTTATCTAAAATTAATAATTTCAATCCATCTCTGCTTTGAACTCTAGATAACGCAACATACAATTGCCCATGTGAAAAAAACGGATCTTTGAGAAACAAACCAACCTTCGATAACGGTTGTCCTCGACTCTTATTAATAGTTATTGCAAAACATACCGCCAAAGGAAACTGTCTTTTTGTGAATTTGAAGGGAATTTTTTTTTCTGATGGAGTTAAATACATTCTTGGAATAAAAGTCTGATTTCCAATATTAGTTCCAGACATTATACGTGCCTCAATAACACGTTTGCCCAATGATATCACCTGTAGTCTTGTGCCATTACATAAGCCGTTTTTCTGATCAATATTTCTCAGTAACATTACTGGAACACCAATTTTTAAAACTAACATATGATTTAGTAGACCGGATACTTTAAGACCATTTAAAACATCAGGCGAGTATAAATTTGCATCAAACTGATCATGGACAAATTCGGATTGACATAGGCTATCTGAACTTAAATATTCAACCTCATCTCCTGGAAACTTGTTAAGTAAACGGTCGTTTATTTCCTGAACAACTTCATTCTTTGGAGCAAGTATAGCTCTTTCTTGGAGATAATTTGTACTGTTATACTTCTCCAAAATTGAAGGATATACAAACTCAATTAATGAACCTATAGGATCATCTGGATCATTAATGAGAATATCATTCGGAATATCGATAATCGTTTCGCCGTCGTTCGGACCACCGCGTTTGCCTTCTCCTATATCCAATAACCAATTTGCAAAATCTCTTATTTTTTCTATATCAGGTTGATCCCTTCCAACAGTTAGCCTCATGTTTTTTGTTAATCTATACACTTTGCAATGTTGCCATAAATATGAAGAACTCAAAGACGTATTAACAATGTTCTGTCTGCTGCCACCCGGAACAACATGTAGAATCTGTCTGAAATCTCCTCCAAAGACAATAACTTTCCCTCCAAAAGGAATATTTGAGATGCTAGAATTTCCACACCTTAATACGTCTTTCAAAGTTCGATCTAAAGCTTCAAATGCATGCTTATGGATCATAAGTGTTTCATCCCAAATTATCAAAGAGGTTTTTCTTATTAAGCTAGCCAACTCACCATGTGGATTTATTTTACAAAAAGAATCCTCTGTAAGTTCAAATGGAAGTATAAATCTAGAGTGTGCTGTTCTACCACCGGGCAATAATAACGAAGCAATACCGCTTGAAGCAACATTTAAAACAATATTACCATCAGATCTGATTGCTGCAGATATTGTCTTCCAGAGAAAAGTTTTACCCGTTCCACCATAACCATAAACGAAGAAAACACCTCCTGTATTTTCTTTAACAGCACTCATGATGTTAAGGAAAATGTTATGTTGCTCATTGTTAATGCAAGAAACATACGATCAAACTCATTCTTTAGAACGGGAATGTCGTAATCTAGCTCCTCAACGATAAGTCGATTGTTCGAAGAAGAAACTGATTCAACATCTGGGTAAGGCATCTTTTTGAAATTTTTTAGAGTGGAGTTGTTTTGAAGTAAAATTTGTTCTATTTCAAACAAAGTTAAGTTCTTAACTTCATCTTCACTGAGTGATAAGTCTACACCATAAATTTTAAATTAATTAGAAAATATAAAATACAATATTTAATAATATTTATAATACTTATTTAATGGATGTTGATAAGAAAAATAAATTATTTTAAATAGAAATGAAGAAGATAATTTAAATACCTGGAGACTTGAACCTTTGTCGTTGGTTATATAGAACTCCATCCGCCAAATATTCCCATGTATCTTCCCAAACGATCTCTGGTTTAGACATACTATTACACATCATAAATGTGGCAAATAAGAAGCGTAGATAAAAACCAGATCCAGAATGACTTGCTTCTTTAATTGCATCGATGTATTCCTTGTCATCATCTAATAGCCCGAGTGCATAACAAGCATCTCTAAAAGAAGAATACGTTTCACCATTTACCTTGCGAATTTCATCAAATGACGTCGCACCTTTAACTTTATTTAAAAGAATCCTTAAAAAGTATGCTTCGCCAAGATTAGGTGAAACGGAATGAATTCTACCAATGGCTTTTCCTGCTTTCCTTCGCTTCCAAAACCTACCATTTAATACCCAAACAAACTTTGTAGGAAACTCAACATATGTAAGATCTCGTGCTTCACTATTAATTGCATTACACTCCATCCAAGATGTGAACTTTGAAGCAACAACAGAAGGTTTGTCCAGAACCTCGTCGATATCATCGTCTTTGCCATATACAATTTGTTGTTGATTAGGAAGATGAAAAGGTAGTCTAACCACAGAAGGATATCTGCAATGAACATCATATTTAAAAATTCGCCATGATGCTTCACATGCAGATAAATATCTACAATCGTAATATTCAGCTATTTCATCGACCACGTCATTATTTTCACATTCATTGTTTGTTGGTACAACAGCAACTGTAGCTCTATCAGGACCCTTGTTTATGTACTTAAACAGATACTTTATAGAAGATCATTGATTGCACCATTCAACATTAATATGTGCCTGATATCTTTTTAATAGATATTTGTTGTATGGAACAACATTTCTATTATCCAACTTGACACCCGATTTTTCTACAAAATGACCATCGTTTCTTCTCCTATATAACGGAAAACCATTTCCATCAACAGACGAATGATTACAGAATTGTTTTGGAAAGTTTTTAGAGCACTTTTTATCCACCATGCATGGGCAATTCATATTTTCAGCTCCACATGGACCATGACATGAACTCATTGACAAGTGAATACAATTATGGATCTTCAATTTGGTCTGGTATCTCGGCAGAAATTATCGGATCGATAAATTCAACAGTGGGTAACTTGTTGTCAGAATGCATAAATAAACATATATGACTATGCGGAAAACCTCTCTTTTGAAATTCAATGGTATAAACATCTGCAAAATATTTGGCAAAAAAACAAAATATGATTAGACAATAAAAACATATAAAAAATATACTATAATAAGAGTAATGTTTTATCAATAATGAAAATATATAATCTTAATTACATGCTTGAACTGTGCCGAAAATTTTATTCTCCTTTAAGTCTTTAATAAATGCATCGAGCTTGATCTTGAACAACCTACATAATATATCAGGCCTGTCTTCTGGTTGAAGTGAAGTATCCTTAAGAAACCTTTTAATCTCTGGCCATTTTGGATTACACGTAAAGGTTATGAAAAAATCTGGATATCCAAACCATTTACATAGTGACATGGCATCCAAATAGTTTTGCAGCATATATCGTGCGTCACCAGTAAAGGATGAAGGTAATATGACACGTTGTCCAACATTGGAGATATTCGTGGTTCCTTGAGCTTTTTGGTTACGTAAATTCTCATAAGACTCACATCTAAAAACATGTTGTTGCCTACGTATGTAATGCAATCTCTCCGTTTCCATCATAGTATAGGCATCTACCAGAAACTGTTGAAACAATCTTTTTGAATTAAGAATGAGGGAGAACGAATGATCTCTATCTTGAATTCTAAAAGCGAAATATTCTCTCATTGTACATTTCGCCCGCTTGCTGTTGGTTGTAAATGACACACCTCTATGAAGAATGTCAACACTGTAACCATCATCTCCATATGGAAATAGCAGTGGATATTGAAGAGGAAGGTATGAAGGATGCAATTCACTGATACGTTATAGAAATCCAGTTTTTGTTTCAACAACAATATCCCTCTTTTCAATTGAATCACAAATGTCACCGACAATTAAAGCGGCAACCTCAGAAGCAGTCGGTAGGTTATATGTTCTTCCATCTCGCTCCCTTCTCCCGATAAGTTGTAGTTTCATATCAACTTGAGGATTTTTCTGAAAAGTATCTCTTACCATCCTATAAGATCTAACCAACACA